TATAAGGTAATATAGTCTTGAGTCATTGCTTTGTTACAGTGAATTGACTTTTTTGCCCTTATTTGTCCTTTCTCTGAAATGGTTACGTTTGTTTAGTGTCTTGGGTGTTAGTTTGGCCTTTGGGAACAAAAGTTATTTTCTAGTTACTCTTGTTGGTTTTGTAAATAAATTCTACTGAGGATTTAAATTGATACATTATTTCTCTGAATCTCTGGAACTATTACTTTTGGATCCTGTAATTGTAGGTTCGATTTGCATTGATGGCATTCTTTAGGAATACTTAACCGTTACATTTTTCTTATCCCTGTACCATCGGACGCAGTTGGTATAGGTTAACCTGGCCACTTGGCTACTGAAAGAAAGCTCTAGGGTCATCTGTAAGTAACAGGAGGATCTTGGTGAGACGAGAGGTAGTTGAAGACAGGTGCCATGTTGGATTAGAGCCACTACTAGAGTATTTTGGTTGACTTCTTTATACCTTTTGTTTTGAGATTTTTTAGCAATACCAAATAATGCAGAGAAATTCTTTTGATTCCTGCCTTTTAGAATCTCTGGACAAGTGGGAGCGTCTCACGGTAGCTGATGCGTTGGAACCAGTGCAGTTTGAAGACGGGCAGAAGATTGTGGTGCAGGGGGAGCCGGGAGATGAGTTCTTCATTATTTTAGAGGTAAAGACTGGGCAGCACTGGGCGGGGAATAGGGGGACACCAGTTCTCATTTACAGCTACCGTTCTTAAGATAAACAGTTTTATTTAAAAATTATCGTTCCCTTTGAAATGTCGTCGTTTGGTTTTCGGCCAGGCCACCACATTTTGAATGAGGGCTTTGCATGAAGTAGTAGCCGGATTCTGACCTGCTCGAGTTAATTCTCCTCACAGAAGCCAGACAGGACGCAGCCATTTAGCACACAGGCTGTGGTGTACTGCACCGTGCTTGTTAAAATCACGCATTTGGGCTAATTTGGCAAACAGGATCAAAGGCAGGTATTTAAATTCTAAATGTTACCATGTTTTATATCGTCACAATCCATGGAAATGTCTAGCAGATACTCTTGCCAGCCAAGGAGATCCACAGAGCAGATTCGCTGAATGTGGCTCAGTAGATGCTAATCGCTGTTGTTTAAGCCAGGGGTCGAGGAAGTCTTTCTGTAAAGGGCCAGACAGTAAGTAATTTAGGCATTTATGAGCCATAGTGTTTCTGTTGCAGACTCAACTCTTGTCATAGTGGGAAAGCAGCCATGGACAGTATCTAAATGAGTTGGTGTATTGTTCCAATAAAATTTTATTTATAAAAGCAGTGAGCTTGGATTTGGCCCTCCTTCTGCAGTTTGCTATCCTGAGTCTGAACCCTCGAAGTACCTCAGCGTGATGAGAAGTACCTCCTAGCAGGAACTGCGGGGGTAAATAAGCGTCAAGCCTGTAGTGACTCTTCAGTTACCTTTTATCACATGAACACAGGATTTGAAATAACTGCTGAGTCCTTTTTTTTTTTTTTTTTTTTGCAGAGTAGCTAAAATTGCATAGGATATTTAAAATGCCACCCAGGATTTGAAAGTATTAATGTGTTTTGCTTTTTGGTGATTTTGTTATAGGGTTCAGCTGCTGTGCTACAGCGTCGTTCAGAAAATGAAGAATTTGTTGAAGTGGGAAGATTGGGGCCTTCTGATTATTTTGGTATGTGGATTTCCTCACAATAAACACAGTTTCTGTAAGTCACTTCTCAGTGAGCTATCACAATCTTTCATAATCTTGCCTTTTCTTCTCCTGAATTTTATTTATTTTATTTATTTATTTATTTATTTTTGCAGTATGCGGGCGGGCCTCTCACCGTTGTGGCCTCTCCTGCTGCGGAGCACAGGCTCCGGACGCGCAGGCTCAGCGGCCATGGCTCACGGGCCCAGCCGCTCCGCGGCATGTGGGATCTTCCCGGACCGGGGCACGAACCCGTGTCCCCTGCATCGGCAGGCGGACTGTCAACCACTGCGCCACCGGGGAAGCCCTGAATTTTATTTTTTATTTTAGTTTTCGGCTCTCAGAGAAGTAGTGTGAGATTTTGACCTTGACTCAGTTAATAATTAAGTTATTGATTGTCTCATATCTGTCAGTTGGTTTTTTCCTGAGGTGCAGATGTAGTGTGGCCTGTACTGAGTTACTAGGAGGAAAAATACGGGTTTTCTTTTCCCCGGAGGGCGCCCCTCAGAAGACGTTTCTGAGGGAGCTAGCCTACTCTCAGCCCTTTCCCCTCCTGCAGGCGAAATCGCGCTGCTGATGAATCGTCCTCGCGCTGCCACCGTGGCTGCCCGTGGCCCGCTGAAGTGCGTCAAGCTGGACCGCCCGAGGTTTGAACGTGTTCTTGGCCCGTGCTCGGACATCCTCAAACGGAACATCCAGCAGTACAACAGTTTTGTGTCCCTGTCCGTCTGAAACCTGCTTCCCGTGCCTCCCTTCCGCCTCTCCCTGTCCAGGCTTCCCCATGCAGACTGCTCTCTGGCCCCTCTTTGCAGCGCCACGTGGCCAGTGGCATCGCAGCTTCTTGTCGGTTTCTGTTAAAAGTTGCTCTTATTGCACCATTTTTATTTTGGAGCATTAACTGAGTGCTCATACACAGTTAAATAAATAGAAAGAGTTCTGTGGAGACTTGGCTGTTCCTGCTTCTCTGTGCAGTGTTAGTGTTCACCCTGGGCCGCGCGTGCCATGCTTTCTGGTGAGGGCAGACCCTGCGCCATATGAGTTACCATAGAGTCATGATGTAACCGTGCAAGATTGCCTTTCAAGTGACAGAAGTTTCCTGTTACCATAAGCAGATTCTAGACTGTGGCCATATATGCTATATTTCTTTATAGAATAAACGATCTCTCATTAAGCTCTGAGGATTAGGAAAAACAGATATAGAAAAATCTTAGTATAGTAGAAAGACATCTGCCTGTATTTAAACTAGTTTAAGGGTGAAAAAATGCCCATTTTTGCTAATTATCAGGTGGAAATGATCTGTTCAGTTCTTTTTTTTTTTCTTTTTAACAAGAATTTTTATTTGTCAAGCGACTTTGCCTGGTTTTGTTTATATCTTGTTCTTAATGTTTCCTCTCCAGTTCTAAAATATGTTGAGGAGTGGCTGTCTATACCTACCTGCCTTTTAAGGTTCACACCAAATCATAAGCTGCAAACATTGGGTAATGATTTAACTGCATCTGCCTCAGCTCACAGACTCTGATCACACCTTCATTTATCCAGCTGGTGCCAAATGTTGATCATCACATGCTGAATTGAGAATAAGAATTTGAGGTCTGCACTCTAGGTTGCTAACTTAGACTTTTTGGTTAATGTATATCCTTCAGTTGAGTCCAGGATAATAATCTCTTATGCTCTTTAAGCACTGATTCCAGGAGATTGGATTTACTGGGAAAAGACAGACTAAATGTTGTAACCGAAAAATGGAGGTGGGATTGCTAAAGGGAGAAGTGGCAGGTGGACAAAGTTCAGTGTCGGGAGCTCTGCCCCACTCAGTTCACTGGGGCAGGAGATTGGGAAGAAGTGTTTTACTTTGCTTTAACCCTTCCTCCCCTGTTTACATCAACTAGAATTTATGGTGGGTTGCGGGGTGGGGTAGGATGTGTTTGTGTTTCAAATTGGTCTAAAAGACCATCCTACTGAAAAGTTCTGGTTTCCTATCTACCACCTTATTTCTCTGGCAAACTTTTTTGTGTAAACGAGTGTTTTGAGTCTTAACTTTATTTCAGTATTTTCCAGCCTTATCAAGGTTATGTGTTGTTACATTATTCCATGTGCACCAATGATACCCAACTGTTTGTTTTTATTATTGTTATTTTTTGAAACAAAATTTCACAGTTCCATAATGTAGGCACTTTTATTTGCATTGTGATTTATGTAGTATATAGGGTTATACTGGGGGTGACTGCAAGCATTTTTTCCATCTGTGTGCATCTGGCTCTGATTTTTAATCCCCTCTCCTTCCCCTTTCCCAGGTAATTTAAATTGGTCATGGTACATTTTTTTCATAGATTTGAACAGCTTTTGGGTTGTTACTAAGTTTGGAGTATAAATCTGGGAAAGAGATTTTATTTACATTCTAGTGTGGGATAGAAAGCCACCTTATTTCAAATTTTTTATTTTTCAAAATAATCTTTACTAAATGAGGATTTTCTGGTCTGTATTTTGTGTTTAGCTTTTTATATTTAAAAGATTAAAAATAAAAATTATGTTCTTATTAGCTTAAAGCTTGATTTGATCTTTGTTTAAATGCCAAAACTGTACTTAACTAAATTATTTAGAACGCCGTAAGTTTGCAGAGTTTCATATATGTATATAGTCATGCTCCTGTGTATGTTCAGATTCATAACAGTGATTTCTAAATGGGTTCTGTTCTTAAATCATTCGGCTTTGCTGTTTACTCCCTTTTGTAATTTTTAATCTAAGAAAATTTAAGTCTGAATTTAAAAATGATCACATTTAAAGCCTTATCTTTGTGCAGTCCATGTGAGAAATCACGATTGGCATCATTTGTCTCAGTGGATATTCAGGGCTTTAGAAGTCATTATTTCTGGGCTTGGTAAGTGGATTTATGAGCTCCACTGCTCTAGAAAGCGTAGATGGCCAAAGGACCATTTTGTATTGTTTCCTGGTCACTAGTCTGATTATACTGTGTGTGCTAATATACCCTCTTCTTTTTGTTGTAGATTGTCTTAATGGTAGGTCAAGTAATAAAAAAGATTAAATAATTTAATTCTCTAACGAATCAGTTTTTCTTCCCTTTCTCCTTTGCTCCTCTTCTTCCTCTCCCCGCCCCCACCCCCCGAAGCTGCTAATCCGGTGGGCATGAATGAAAATCGAAAGTGAATTAGGGGATCGGTGTTTTGAAACAATAGTGTGTTTGTTTTCAGTGTTTTCCAATTCAGTTTGTCAAAGAATGAATCTAAAAACCTTTCTTTAAGAGTAATTGAGATGTAGCAGATCTGTACTGAGCAATGGAAGGAAAACAATAAATCAGAGGTCAAAGATTTCCTTTTTATTGAGGGTAGACTGGTTCTCTGGCTTTGGAACTTTCCCACACTTAATGGGGGATGTCATTTCTAGGTCAGCATACTCTTTGGTTTAAATTTAATATGTGCATTCATATATTTAGGTATGCTTCTGTATTTCGCATACATATAAAGTCATTTCTAACATTTCTCATTTCTGAGGTGGGGACGATTAAATTGAATTCATTAGCATATTGGAATTAATTCATTTGCATCCAGTGAAGTTGGAGATAATGTTGTATTGCCCAGAACATTGCTTAAGTTGTGCTACTTTGTAACACATGCACTTTGTCCAGATTCAGTAATCCCCTCCCTCAACCTGCTGGAGTTGGAACCTTTTGAGTCACAACAGAATATAATTGAAGAACATTTTCCTGGGTTGACTGTACTGGTTGTAGTTTAATTTTCCCTCGAAAACACTGGCTTATATGAAATCCCTTTTTGTATTTTAATGGCTTAAATATTGACAGTGTAAAATTGAAGTAGTATGATGTTAGTTTTCTTAATATTGCTTTCTCTCCAACCACAGATGAACAGCTGAACCCTTTTTGTATTTTTTTTTTTTTTTTTTTTTTGCGGTACGCAGGCCTCTCACTGTTGTGGCCTCTCCCGTCCGGACCTTTTTGTATTTTTGTTAGGCCCTGGCAGTGTACTTCTAGATGGGCTAAAACTACTAAAACAACATGGAGAAGCAGTGTGTTGATCACCATCATAATAGCCATCAGGAAAGACTGTGGAGAGAACATAAAAGGGAGAATGGTAAATCTCTCCCTTCTTACCCTAAGGAGTCTCACACAGCAGTCAGTGTGACTGTGTGCGTATAAAGTTAAAATTTGTGGACTGACAGAAGTCCAGAGCTGTGACTGCATCCTGATGCTGCCTGAAAACCCAAACCACTAATGAGCAGAATTTTTTCGTTTTGCGAAAGCTCTCTGCCAGTGTAGCTTAAGTAGCTTTGTGGTTTTCTAAGTCACCACTAGATGGAGGGCTTTTCATCATCTTTGTTAGCCTCAAAGTCAGTTACAGTCGGTCCTCGTTGTTCACGGATGCTGTATTTGCGAACTTTGCAAATTTGCGTACTTGCTGAAATTCATTTGTAACCCCCAAATCAGTATTCCCGGCACTGTCACAGTCATTCCCAGACTTGAGTGGAGAGGGGCCCGCGTCTCCCGACACGCGAGTGCCTGGCACAGGTCAGACCAGGCACACTCTGCCTTCTAGTTTCAGCTGAAATCAGATGCCCTTGTTTTGGTCTATTTAGTGCCACTTTTTTGCATTTTTGTACTTCCTGTTGGTGATTTCTCTATTTAAAGTGGCCCCCAGAGGAGTGCTCGTGTCCTGGCTGGGGGTCCCGAGGGTGAGAAGGCTGTGGTGGGTCTCTAGAGGGGTACATGTTAGCCAGCTTCTCTCAGGCGTGAGAGGCAGCGCCATTGGCCGAGCTCAGTGTTCGTGAAGCAACAGTGGATACTAACTGAGGTGTCTTCATCACACCGTAACGCAGGAATCAAGATCGTGTATTGGTAGGCTGACAGGAGTGTCACCAGAGGCTCTCACAGGAACTACAGCCCTGTATCGCTCCTAGGGGAAGGCGGCACAGGAACCTACAGCCCTGTATCGCTCCTAGGAGAAGGCGGCACAGGAACCTACAGCCCCGTATCGCTTCTAGGGGAAGGCGGCTGTCTCCGCTGATTCCGTGTCCTTGGTGACTCATCAACCATAAAACTACCACAGATAAGAGAATCAACTACCCTTTTTACCGTCTTCAGACTCAGATTGTCCTCCTGACTTTGGGGGAGGCTAAGTGAGTTCCTCCAGACCCCTTTCTCCACCAGCTCGTGGGCTGTCGGTTCCCTTTCATGTTTTAGTTTGCTGTTAGTAGTACTGACAGGAAAACATGAAAAGTTCTTAACATAGAGACAGGAGAGTTTTTATGTCATGGAAAATTGAACAGTGGTCCAAAGTGAGCGTGTTGGAAGAACTTGATAGATCTAAGACTGGGGTCTTTTGTTTTCTGGTATTTTTGACAAATGGTAGTGGCTTAATTTTGGTATTAGTGAAAAAATAATGGATGGGTGAATAATAAAACATCTAGGTACGCGACATACTGTGGTCAAACTCAGTTCTCTTACTCTCAGTCTGTAAAGTACGCCAGCATTTTTATTATAGGCCATCTGAAAACTAGTCCGTTGTCACGGAAGAGGCCGGGTCGAGGTGCAGCTGGGCCTGCCTTCCTGAGCCTCTGCAGTTTGCGAGTTCAGACCATTTTGTGCTATAGTCTCTGAACACCTTCGCCTGAATATTCTCCTCTCGCTCCGCTGCGTGTGATTACCTGGCTCCCCCTCCAAGAGGAAACGTAGGCTTGAAGTAGAAGAAACCATCTGTGAAGTGGGAGGCCTTGAGCAGCAGTAGAGACGCCTCAGTAACACGAGGCTCTGGGATTGAGGTTCCTCTACTGAAGACTGGTTTTTGTTTTAAAGCCAACAAATACAACTGCATGAATTGGGTGAGATGCTGTTGAGTTTTGCATTACAGTGGAAAGAACGCTTTGGGATAGTTTTGAATCATTAAGTTGCATGATTTTAGCTAACCTTCCTGAGCCTTAGTTTTCTTGGAGGTACCCTGGGGGTCAGGGATCCTGTCTGTCGGGGAGGATTGGAAGCCTGCGTTTGACTTTGGCACGTGGAGAACGAGCTCCGTGAATGGAAGTGGTATCACTATCACGGGGACGTAGGTTCGGGGCAGCGTACCAGTGATGGGGGCAGCCGGGCTGGGCCGGAAGCGCCCCTGTCTCTGGGCACACGGCAGACGTCTTGGATGACGTCTAGAGGCGTCCTGACCTCATACCCACTTTAGCGACAGCTTCTTCCCACCCTACTCGTACTGGTATTTGCGCCTCTGGCCTGTACCAGAAAAGCTGGGCTGATGAAATCAGCCGTTTTTACTTGCTGAGTGATTAATGTGAATACACGCCTATCCTGTGTGTTTTCATGGATTGTTGAATAAGAAACAGCCTCCTCTTCAGACACAAGCAGGTCAGCAGGGAGGAGGCTGAAGAGACAGGAAACCCCTGAGATGCCCACTTTTGAGGGAGGCTTGGAAGGTAAACTTGACTTAGTGCTTTCTGAGTGAGCAGAGGGGAGTGGCATCCAGAGTGCCAGGCTTCTCCAGACAGCCCGCTGCGCTTGGGGACGGGGCCGTGGGGACAATGCCTGAATCTTAGGGGAGGAGGACTCACCGGTGGGCTCGGGTCGGTCCTGGCTGTGCTGCTTAGTCCAGGCTCATGGACCTGCTGGACCCGTTCTTCCGCTGTCCCCCCTCAGGGCCACCCTCGCTTTGCCTTCTATTGTTACTGGATGCCAGCTTTGACAGCCTTGATGTTATTTCAATTGACATTTACTCTTCGGATTGAAATAGCCCTTTGCTGATACTCTGAGCAAATCCCTATGTTATTTTCACCTCTTGTAATAACACTTCTGAGAAATTACTTTAGGACCAGTCAGTAGGGATTATTGTGTTCAGACTGGGCCACAGTGTTTAGAATATGAATAGAAAGTGTGCAGACTACTTTGAACCAGTTGGAGTTACCATATTTAGGTTTTTTTGGGGGGGTCTGCTTGTGAGATGCCAGATGTTTATTAATCTGGATCGGGACTTATCCTTGTAGATGTAATAAAGATCTGGGGGTGTCCATCTGATGTCCCGTAATTTTATTTGTTACAGTTAATGCTCTCTCCTGGGAGCCAGGCTTCCAGGCTGGTCCCGTGTCCAGATTTCCCAGTGGGCTCAGCAGGTGGTCTGTGGCCTTGAAGCAGAGCTTCTGGGGAGATAGGGAGCCAGGGCAGTGCTCCAAGGAGGAAAGTGCAGTGGGTCCCACTTCTTCTGCTCTTTTGGAATCATCCCAGTGCCCTGCCTGCTTCGTGAGCTCCTGACCCAGGCCCCAGCCTGGCCTGGGGCCCGCGAGGACACTGTGGTCCACACTCCAGAGTCCACCGCGGGCTCCAGGCGTAGTTCCCGAGGTCGGACTCGTCCAGCCCCTAGCTGGGGCCGGAGTCTGGGGCCGACTGTCCCGTGGGGCCGTTGGCCACGACGCTGTGCTCTCCGTGGGCCTCAATGCAGCCCCGCACGGTCCTCAGGACAGTCTGGAGCCTGCGATCCAGGGCGAGGAGGTGCGGCTCTGTGAGCACAGGCGTGAGCTGGTCTTCCAGCAGCGACTCCCTCATTACGTCGCTGAGTCTGTAGTCGGCTTGGGCCAGCAGCTGCAGGTGCGAGAGTGTTTTCCTTTTTATTCTGGAAGGACAAAGTCAGGGGACCAAGTAAGTAAACGTAAAGAAAGAAACTTCTCGAACTTACTTCCTTCCCCGCCGACAGTGGTGGGGGCTGACGTCTGGAGAGCCTTCGCCCCCAGTGTCTTCTCAGGCACACTTAATGCAAACCCGGTAAGAAGGGAATGGACGAAGGGTGACAGCTATAGGACTTGGCGGTCCTTGGCCCAGTCGTCCCGCCAAGCATCTGCTGCTCCTCGGGGAGTCCGAACAGAAGTGCTGTGTAATAACGACTTCTCAAGGAAATTGAAAGCTAACGAGAGAAGTTTCCAGCAGGTGAAATGATGGAGATGTTTGCCGTCTCAGAGGCTGCGGGTACCGCCGGGCTCCAAGTTGTTTCTGCTCGACTTTGTAATTCTGATTTCTCTGTGTCAGATTCTAAAATCAGGGATGGAAACGGGGTAGGGCCAACCTTGCCTTTAGTATTTTGATTTCTTTTTATGTGGGAATGTGACCTGGACTCAGATGTGTAAGCAGCTTAGGTGTCCACGCATTGTCATACACAACTCCTGCCTTTCCTACTCAGGAGGAGAGGAAGTGGGGTGGGAGGGAGGCACACGTAAGCTACCCCAAGAAGTGGAGAAAGAAAGTTCAGGCTCTGCTCTGAGTTTTCCAGCTGGAAATAGACACCGTTTTGCTATGCGTGGGCCACGTATTTCTAATTAGCTCCGGACACTGCAGCTGAGCAGGTGGACGATCTTGACCAGCTCGGCTGAAACACCAGAGAGGTGTAGAGGCAGGGCAGAGATTCTCTGGAGAAATGCTGGCCAGGCAGAGGCCTGAGGACTTCCTTTAATCTGACATGAGTTTATGGGACTTCAGTCAGGATTTTGCTTAGCTGGTGATCAGGCAGTAATACCTATGAGCTTACGTGAGTGCGGGGCACAGCAGAGGTCTGGTTAGTCCTGTCAGAGGCCGTCGGGCTCTTCGAAAAGTGAGTGATGATCTGAGTGTGTTATTAAAGCGGGCGACCGAGAGGTTTTAAAAGATTAGATCCTAAGTCATCTGCTGAGAGATGAAGGTGTGAGAAGTGGGACAGTTCTGTGGTTGTAGCACAAGGAATGAGGTTGTTCCTGTCATTCTACCCGCCCACATCCTCGGCCAGTGAAAACTGATGACCTGCACAGCTTGGTGGCAAGCAGGACGAAGTGTCACAGTTGTGACCCGTCCCTGAACGGAAAGCTCACCGGCAGCACTGGGAGAGTGGCGAGAGGATGGAGACTTCGTCGTGGGAGTGCCGTCCAAACCTGCAGGGAGGAGAGACAGGCTTTCACGGGAGCACGGGGGTGTGGGGGGGACAGGCACCACCTCCCGCCTCAGTGCTTCCTCCTGCCTCCCCCTCTGCCGTTTTTGAATCCCAGCTTGGGGTAAAATGCCAGGGATCACGGCCACTGCCTCTCCAGCCCTTCTCCGTCAGGTCACAAGAGCCTCTGTCCACAGCTGGCGAAAGCAAGCATCCGTTCGTTCATTTATGCACCGGCCGCACAGGGCCAAGGCCAAGCACGAGGATGATGCGCTGGGTCTCCGGGAGGGGACCGTGGGGCGAGTTACAGAAAACGTGGATCTGCTTCCTAGCGCTCTTAGGCTGGAGGAGAGTCAGGCGGTACTCAGCAAAGATCAAGAGCAGAGGAAACGGGGCCAGGAGGGCCCGGAGGGGGCGGGACGCGGCCGTGGAGGCCCTGACTCGGGCCCTGCTGCCCCCGGGCCGCTGCACAGCGGTGCCGCCGCCGGAGAAGGGCCGTGGGGACGCTCACCCCCTGGCGTTGTCGAGGTGAATCAGGAACCCGTCGTCCCCAAATTTGGTGAACGTCTCGTAGTGGTGCCGGTCCATGTTTCCTGTGGAGGAGGGGAGGCGTGGGCGCGGGCTCCCGCCCTGTGAGACCCCGCGGGGCTCGGAGGCCTGCGGGCTGCTCAGAGGCCGGAGTCGGAACCCGGGCCGCCAGCTGTTGCGCCCCCAGGTGGCCGGTGGAATCGCGGAGGGGGCAGGAGGGAGCCAGGCGGGCGGGCAGAGCCGGTGCGAGCTGCTGTCCCGTCGGGGGCTTTTCCCACCCGCGCCGGCGCCCCTGCGCTGCGCAGGCGCGGCTCCGGGCCGCCTCCCAGGGCGCACAGCGGCCTTGCTGCCGAGCCTTCCGTTCCCTGGGCCGCGCCGCTGCGCCCGCTGTGCGCCTCCCCGCAGCCCCCTAGCAGGAGGGCAGCCCGCTCACTCCTGTCCCCGGGGCCTCTACCACTTGGAGCCCGTGGATGGCGCGAGGTTATGGAGGCCGGGTGGCCCAGGCCGCAGGGTCCCCGCCCGGCCGGGCCCCGCGGGCAGCACCCACCCGTCAGGAAGTCGAAGATGGCCATGTCGATGATGTTGAGGAGGCGGCCGCTGCTGCTGTGCGGGTAGACCTGCTTCACCGTGTCGCAGTAAAGAGGGTTGACTTCCCACCTGGGGGGAGAACAGGGCCTGGGCTGCAGAAGCCCGGACGGCAAGGTGTCCGACCCGCATCCATGCCCCCCGGTCCTGCCCGGGCCGCCGGCGGCAGGCGCCCCCACCTGGGCAAGGACCTGGGCAAGGACCCGCGGGACGGGCAGACGCCCTGGGTGAGAAGGGGTGGGGCCCTTTCTCCGCGCGTTTCCGAGCATCGCCTGGCTGGGCGCCGTACTGCCCGTGTGCCGCGAGGGCACCCGCTCCCTCTGCGGCCCCTCGCCCAGCCTCTCGGGCGCTTGCCTTCCGGTCTCCCGAGCCGCTCGCAGCCCCCTTGCCAGCCATCCTCTGCCATTTCTCTGCCACATGGGCTCCTCCGCCTAGAACGCCCCCAGGTCCCTTTTCGTCTGAGGGGGGGGTCTTCCTCAGCCTTCACGAGTCCCTAAGGATCTGTCACGTCCCCCAGAAATTCTGGCCCGGTTACTCCTCTTCCCACCACGGTTGGGGTGGCTGGATCGACGAGCCCATTCATTCAGTCACCTCATATTAACTGAGGACCTGCCCTGTGCCCGGGAGTGTGCCACGCCCTGGGGAACAACCGTGAGGTCCCGGCTTCACGGCGTGGACTCAGCAAACCCGGCCCCTCCCGCGGCCTCCCCGTGGGCATCTCTGCGGGACAGCAGGTGGGCACTGCGTTCTCACAGCCTGGCTACCGTCTGCCGCCCCGCTGGACCGCAGAGCTTCTTGAAGGGACAGCCCAGGTCTGTCCTGTCTCCCCCAGCATCCAGTGCTGGGTACGCAGTGGGCTCTTTATAACCAAACGCATGAACGAAAGGGACAGAACGGACACCAGGATCCACGTGAGACGAGGCAGAGGAGGACTGAGGCAGCGTCAGGGCTCCCCAAGCCAGGCGAGCGAGTCCTTGGTCCAGGGGCCACTCACTCCTCTTTGCCTGCCAGCGAGTAGGAGCGGATCCAGGGGCTGGGGACGGACAGCCGGGGGGCCAAGTTGAGGGACGGCAGGAATGCGGACAGGGAGCCCTCCAGCAGGTGCGGGTTGCCGCATACGGCGTACTCCGTCTTGCACAGGTACGGGCACTTGGCGAAGAAACACACGTTGCTGGCTAGAGGCGGAGAAGGAGAGCGGTAAGCGGAGGACGCATGCCGTCCTCCTGCCCCACGAAATCCATGAGGAGGGAAGGGAAACCCTGAACCCGCGGCTCGCGGGGGAGAAGGCCGGGGAAGAAGAAAACAGCGCCTTTTCCCGATGCAGGAGCTTGTGGATGCTCTTAAACTGAGCATCCTGGGGACCAGCTCTCAAACGTCCGAGTAGAGACGGTGTGGGGCCAGGCTTGCTGCATCGCGCCCACGCGACCAACCCGGCCTTTGTTCAGATGGGTGGCATCTGATTCGGGGGCGGCCGGCATCAGAGTTCAGGGCCCAGGCTGGTGAGCATCTTACGTCCAGCCGTCTGCCATCCCCAGGTCACCTTGTGTGATGCCCAGGTGGCCCGGGGTGCGAGTGTCTGATGGCAGCATGTAGCCACCTGATAGGGGATGGGGCCACCAGCAGGAGGTCAGACCACACTGGCCAACCACATTCTTAGACCCAGAGTGTTGCTTTGGCCAGAAGCCTACCTGGAGAGATAAAGAAAACACTCTGCAGGATCTCATTCTTGGTGACCTCCAGGATTTCCTTGGTGACATTGACTAGCCTCCCTACGGTCGGTGGTACCCGTCGGAAGTCCAGAATCCTGAAAGAGGGGGAGCCCAGTTCACATCTGGGGGATGATCGCCCATTAGAAACGGACCTGCTGCGAATTCCCGGGCGGTCCAGTGGTTAGGACTCCGCGCTTCCACCGCAGAGGGCACAGGTTCGATCCCTGGTCAGGGAACTAAGATCCTGCCCGCAAGCCACGCGGCAGGATCCAAAAAAGAAAAGAAAAAAAAAGAAACGGACCGGCCTTCTGACCACACCCAGCCGAGGGCGGGGGTCTCCGCAGTGCAGAGCTGACCCTGCCGAGGGCTAGCCTGCATCTAAGGGGCTGGGAGAAGGGGTGGGAAAGGCCTCCCGGGCAAAGCTTCCACCCTCCAAGCTGTGTCCTAGCTCAGTGCTTCTCACGCTCCAGTGTGCACATGAGTCACCCGCAATCTTGTTCAGATGCGGCTCTGAGTCAGTGGGTCCAGGGTGAGTCTGAGAGTCTGCATTTCTGAAGAGCTCCCAGGGGGTGGCCAGGCTGCTGGTCCCCAGACCACACCTCGAGGAGCAACGACAGGCAAACAGAGGGAGCTAGGAAACTGAGGAAGGTGCTCTCACCTTTTAATATCGTAACCTTGAGACCCTTTGGGGAAATGGCCATGGGCACATTCTCGCCACTTTCAGGGCAGGAAACTAGAGCCAGATCACAATGTCAGGTTCAGGTGTAGCTTGGGCAGTCTGGCAGGGTTAGTTTTCTTACTAAGTGACTCTTTTCATTACATTAAAAGGCCTTGTGGGGCTTCCCTGGTGGTGCAGTGGTGAAGAATCCGCCTGCCAATGCAGGGGACACGGGTTCGAACCCTGCTCTGGGAAGGTCCCACATGCTGCGGAGGAACTAAGCCCGTGCACAACTTCAGAGCCTGCATGCCTTAGAGCCCGTGAGCTGCAACTGCTGAGCCTGTGAGCCGCGACTACTGAGCCCGTGTGCCACAACTACTGAGCCTGCGCTCTAGAGCGCATGAGCCACAACTACTGAAGCCCGCGCGCCTAGAGCCCGTGCTCCGCAACAAGAGAAGCCACCGCATTGAGAGGCCCCCGCTCGCTGCAACTAGAGAAAGCCCGTGCACAGCAACAAAGACCCAACACAGCCAAAAATAAAATAAATAAATAACAAAAAGGCCTTGTGATTTTCGATCCATGGGGTTGGATGGGTCATGTTGGGTTTGAAGGTGTTGGGACCCACGAAGAAGATGAAGTACCAGGAAGAAGTGGGGGCAGGCCGGGTCTCCCTGGGGCGCCCTCTGGGGATTGGCCTCCGCAGTCAGCACCGCCTCCCTGGGGCCAGACTCTACCTGTCCAGATGGAAAGCTGCAATCTCAGCGTTGTGTCTCTGAAAATCAATGAAGTAGAAGAAGTCCTCGGGCGTCTCTTCATCTCGCAGCTGTCTGGAAGGAAGGAATCACGCCCTGGACTCAGACCTCAGCTGGGAGCCTGAGAAAAGAGCTGACACACGTGACCAGACGGAAAGGAAGACATGCTTTTATGCTTTTCAGGGATGCACAGATGATGGGACAGCACATCAGGAACAGCCCGTGGCTCCCTCGGCTGGGGAGACCGGCAGGCAGGAGGAGCGAAGCTTCTTGCAAGATGCGGACCGTCCTGGAGGCCCCCGGGTGCCAAGCCTCCTTCTCAGCAGCTCTGGTGACGGCCACTGATTCTCTGAAAAGCCCAGTGGTTGGAGGGAAGAAATCCATTCTTCCGCAGATACACAGAAGACAGGGCACTGGCTAACACACCAGAGGTTGTGTACACCCGGGGGCCAAGGATTAAGAGAGGTGGGGTACGAGACAGAACTTTATAAAAGGAAAAGTGCCCTACAGGTGCGATTTAGCATGACTGACCCGGAAGAGCGAAAAGTTCCGGGTCTGTGAATCGACCGTCTACTCGGAGGCATCTCACCTGGGTCGTGAGAGCGGGTCCTGCCAGAGATTGAAGGGAGGCTAATGCAAAGGATATGTACGTATGTACATTAAAGAATCCCTACTAGATTCCTGAAAAGCACCATCCTGCCTGGTCATGAAGGGCCGGCTGGGTAGGTATGTTTAGGTGCCTCCCAGTAATATGAAGGGCATCCCGGCTGCTGCCCCAGGTTGACTGGCCCCAGTGCTGATGATAATCCTTGGAAGAAGGATGATCTTCAAGTAATTTTATAATCCACCGTGCGGGGCTGCACGAGGGCTGTGAAAGCAATGTACATGTAAATCAGCGCAATGTTGTGTAACGAGCCGTAAGTACGCGGCGCCCGCAATGGAAACAGTGATAGGCGCTTCGTCCCAAACACCAGCCAGTCCTGGAAGCCACAGCAAGGGGCTGCCCAGAGTGGGCACTCTCCTTTAGAAGGTGCAGCCGCACTTAGAGTACGGCCCAGGCCTGACCCAGGGCTGCTTACGGCATCGCCGAATGTCCAGGTCAGCAAGGACTGTCCATGTGTCCTCAGCTCGTTTTCGTTCCTGAATTCTGTATGTAAGAATACACAGTCTGGGAATTCCCTGGCGGTCCAGGGTTTAGGACCCGGCACTTTCACTGCTGCGACCCATGGGTTTAACCCCTGGCCAGGAAAAAAAAAAAAAAGGTAAAGAAAAAATAAAAATTAAAAAAAAGAGAGAATACACAATCGCTGGGATGCCCTTTAGAATTTTCTAAACCATCATTTCTTCATTTTTGTATGGCATGTTTAGGCATGATTTTAAATTTGAAAATCATTTCTCCTGTACGTCGGTACTTCCCAAAGCTTGAGACGCACAGATGTATTTCTCATTGCATCTATTGAATTATATCACATTAAAAATATAAGCTTTGTGGTCAGAATTTGTGTTACCCAAAGATAAATTTCTACTTTCCTTTTTTAAAAAGGGACAAATGCTGTTTACTTTACATTACTTGTAGGAAAAAAATGCATGCTTTTTCAAGAAATACATTTTAAAATGATACTTTGGCTTGGGACTAAAGTTTAGAAAATGCAGATTAAAGTTTGTGTTATGGCGTGAGTGTAGATCAAATGGCTTTTGTGACCTCATGTTGGAAGCTTTTGCATTATACTCAGGGAAACAGCTGGTTCAGTTGAGCACTTTTTGCGTTTCGTTCGTAATTGACAAGGCAGGGAAGAGATTTCAGGCTGTTATTTCATGGGCTTTCTTGCAAATAAAACACTACAAGTGTGAGTAGTTTTTTCTCCCCCGAATAGAGCTCATCCACTCTCTATTAGCTTCCAGTTTTTAAAATTACAGACACCTTCACGTGCCACATATGAATTTTGCTCAGAGAATGCACTTCGTGGATCTGGCGATAAATGGTGAATTCGCAGATTTATCATTATTTTGACGCTTCTCTTGAACATCTCGTGTTTCTACATCGTGTTCCTTCTGCCTCCTCTCTAACTGATGCTCAGTTAGGACTCTACATTAAACATGCACGACTAACCGTAACGATCATTTAAAACTCTCCAATGGCCCAGACACGTGGGTGGCTCTGTGTCCAGCTGAGTGGCACCCAGGAGTCTTGTGCCTGCTCTGGACCTGGGCTGATGGCCCTGTGTGCGCAAAGCTGTCGCTCTCTTTTAAAAGGAACACAGTTCTTTTTAGTACTTTATAGGCTTGAACATAAGATGAGACCCCCCTCCCCAAACTGTCCCTCAGAAAAGGGAGTCTTAACGTGTTCAAGGGCTCCCTCTCAATTTCTTTATTTTGTTTGGGACAGATTCATCCAGCTGAGATGCTGCTTTTATTACCTGACTGAACTGCTTAAAACAGGCTGCTGGTGGTGACAGGGGCAGAATTTAACATGGATTTAACATTGACCCCAAACTCGACTCCAGCGATGCTGAGGACCAATGTCAAAAATTTTGGACAAGTGACATGTGAGACTGGGTGGGGAGGGAAGCAATATTTCCAAATCTCTGTATTGTTTTATATGATGAGATTTTTTTTCATCGGTAAATTAAATACAGGCAGACATTCCCTCGTTTCATGTACATCGTTATATATTTATTTATTTATTTTGTAGTACTCCATCTGTTTCTTTTCTTTCCTTTTTTTTTTTTTTTTTTTTTTTTTGCGGTACGCGGGCCTCTCACTGCTGTGGCCTCTCCCGTTGCGGAGCACAGGCTCCGGACGTGCAGGCTCAGTGGCCATGGCTCACGGGCCCAGCTGCTCCGCGGCATGTGGGATCTTCCTGGACCGGGGCACGAACCCGTGTCCCCTGCATCGGCAGGCGGACTCCCAACCCCTGCGCCACCAGGGAAGCCCTGTTTCTTTTCTTTTTTGAATTTTATTTCTTTTTAATGCAGCAGGTTCTTATTAGTTATCTATGTTATACTTATTAGTGTATATATGTCAATCCCAATCTCCCAATACATTGTTATTTATTTAAATTGACCAAACAACTAGATTTTTGGATTTTCACATGGAAAAATGGAGGGTCTCCTTGTGTGGCAGTGGCTTTCAAGGCTGTCCTGGCCTTGGGATTAGAGGGGGCCCCCAGACCGATCCTATTGGACCCCCTGAGGGTGGGATTCAGGCATCAGGGTTTTTCAAGGCTTCCCAGGTGATTCGACGCGCAGCTGATGTATGATAAAGCTCTCCTTAGTACTTTATATGCCTAAGTATATAAGTGCTTAGTGCGTTATAAGGGCTTTTGCTAGGGCGTGCAGGGATCAGAGCTAAGGCTTTTTATTTAGTGCTCATTCGACCATCAGACCCACCTACAGGGCCTTCAGTATGCCTCTCCGTTGACGGAAGTTTTGGAATCTAAGTCAGCCGAATGGGATTCCACCGGAAGACCGCGCCTTCTGGCAGAAAGCATGACTTGGGTAATGAGACCCCTCCTGGGCCATTTTCTCTTGGGCGTGTCGTGTCCAGGGGACCATTCCTGACTCAGGAATCTCAAACCTCTGCTGCAGACCCTTTGGGGGCCAGGAGCCCGTACGCACAGCAAGCTCTGTCCGTAGACTGAATACCTATTATCTCGCCCACATAGACACACTACAAAATTTTAAAGGCATGTATTTGCTGTTGTTACAAATAAAATAGAAATTAATTTAAAAGTGTGATTGGCTGTAGAGAACAAACGTATGGACACCAAGGGGGGAAGGCGGGGAGGGGAGTGATGTGGTGGGATGAACTGGGAGATTGGGATTGACATGTATACACTAATATGTATAAAATAGATAACTAATAAGAACCTGCTGTATAAAAAATAAATACATAAAATTAAAAAAAAAAGTGTGATTGGCTTCAGGGTAGCCTTTCTTCATGGTCTAGTTTTTCAATCAAAACAAGTATTGTTATGTAGATATCTCTAACTCTTTTGAGGGTCCTAGCCCTGGAAAAAAGCGAAGCTCATTTCTGGAGGTAGAGTGTGAATTTGGCAGTCCAGCTGCCTGGTTTGAATCCTGCTTCCACTGCTTGCAGCTGGGAGGTTGGGACGAGCTGGCCTCTCCCGGCCTCAGTGTTTTCATCCATAAAGTGGACACTGTAACAGTCCCCGACTAATAAGATGGTTGATGGTCCAAAGGCACGATGCATGTCAAGTGTGTCGCAGAAATACCAGCAAAGACCCAGCTCTTACTATTTTGAATCATTATCACCAAAACAGTCGTCTGCTTGTGCAGATGGCCCCAAAGAGAGTCTATAAATGCTTGGCTCAAAGATTTTAGACCACTTTTATTCATTTTTGGTCAGAACTCCCCCAGGGCTGCCACAGCTATGCATACGGAGGTGAGGAGAGCAGTCACTTACCTCATAGGTTTGAACATGGCCTTCCCGAAGTCCGAGAACCTCAGAACCAGTTTGAGGTGGACCCCACTGGGTTTCACGACTGTTTGGGGAGAAGGGGGAGTTAACGATGCTTCTGGGCCCAAGGTCCGGGCTGTGATCATTTCCTCATTCAATAAACCCAGCCCATTTCTTCTCTTCGCCCTTCTTACTTGAGACCCTAACGAGTGGGATTTGCTCACAGAGCCTGCAGGGTACAGTCCAGCGGGTCAGGCCATGGAGAGTGTGTCCAGCGACTCAAGATAAAACTTTCTCTGCTGTTACGGGGAAAGGGCAAAACAGTGCAGGTTTCCCCAGAGGGACACTCGCTGAAAACCCCGAAGGATGTTTTCCTAAGAAGAGCTGACCCCTTCCTCTTCGCTTCAGCTGTGCCTTAGAGACTCTGACTATGCCACCTGTTACATGGCATTAGACTTGGTTATTGATATCTCTTCCTATGTAAGACTGGACACCTGGGCTGTGATGGGGCTTGGTGACACCTGAGGTGCACGTGCATGGTCCTGCCAGTGGGTACCGCCTCCTGTTGTGTGTCCTGGGCACCTCACTCGCCTGCCCCTGCCCTGCCGTCAGCCCCGCGAGGGGCGGGATAATGCCTCCCTCACCTTTGCCTTCTAAAAAATGGCAAATGGCAGGGGCGAAACTAAAGAAAACGGAAGCCCCAGGCCCTACAAACTTGTGTCTTTAACAAGTCGTGACCCACAGAAATTTCTGACGTGTGCTCAGTTCATCGAGGTCACTGGAGGGGGCTCCTCGTGGCCGGCAGTGACTGGTGGGATCTCAGTGTCCAGGCACACCTGTACCCAAGTCACAGCGTCCTGGCAGGGACAGTGCTGTATCTCACGCCTATCTTTTTGATTCTACTCATCATTTACCCCAGGGCATCTCAACCTTGGCTGCATGAGGATCACCTGGAGTGTTTTTATATAAATGCTGGTGCCTGGGCTTCCCCCTGGCAATCGAATCAAAACCCCTGGGGTGGGGACCAAGACGCAGCAATTTTTAAAGCTCCCTGGGTGACTACTCTGCCGCCGGGTTGAGAACCACCGTCCTGCACCATTGCTTCTTAAATCTGAAAATGTACTCTAGTCCCCTGAGGATTTTGTGAAAATCCAGATTCTGACTCAGAAAATCAGGGCGGGGACTGAGATTCTGCGTGTCTGGCAAGCTCCTGAATGGTACGAAAGACGCTGGGCCAAGGACCACCTGCCGCCCAGCAGGGTCCTACCCAAGAGCTCCTCTGAAATGCCTTTTCTTTTGTGCGGGAAGGTGGGGAGAAATGTAGGTTCTCAGAGATGAGGCAGAGGGACCCATGCTCCTCAGCTGCTGACGGAGCCCCACAGAGTGGGCAGCGGGACCTTCACGTTGCTGCCAGGTACTGGGCTTCACAGGGCAGTGAGGGGATGGAGGGGGATGGAGGGGGCAGGGCGGGGCCACGGCGGGGGCGGGGCCAGGGCATGCGCGTGGCGTGGCCGGGGCCAGGGTCCGGGGGTGGGGCGGGGCTGGGGAATGAGGCGCGGCCAGAGCCCGGGGGCGTGGCCGGGGCGGGGGGCGGCCGGGGGGCGGGGGCGCGGCGGGCCGGGGGCGGGGCCGGGCCACTTACTCTGGGTGCAGTCGCAGGCTCCAAGCAAGGCTTTCTCGTCCTGACTGTAGTCTGCGAAGGAGGGGCAGGGCGCTGAGAACCCTCGACTCTGGTTCAGACACCAGAGGGGGAGCCTGGAAGGCAGCCTGGGGCCCTTGCGCATTCAGTAGGGGACCTCCCCGAGCCTCATTTGGGGCCGCAGCCTCCCAGCCTGCTCCATCCAGGCCCCATGCTCTCTAGCCCTTCCGTGGACGCTCCAGCAACAGCTGCTGGGGAAACGGGTGCTGGCTGGTGTCTGCAAATCCCTCAGTGTGTCCCTTAGGCTGGCGTAGTGCTCGAGGCCTCAGGCAGCAGGCCGCCACTGGGTCCTCGGCCAGGTCACTTTTAAACTCTCCGAGCCTCAGTTTTCCCATCTGTAAAGCAGCAGTGGTAATGTCTACATCATGAGCTCACTGTATAAGAGAGTCGCCAGATTCAAAAGGAGCAGTGGATCAGTAGCGGCCATCACCTTTCCGTAAGCTACGGACACCTCCTGTGCGTCCCGTGTGGGGTTGTGAGGAGATCACGGTTGTAAGATCTCTTTCAAAGGGAAAAAGTCACTGTCTGTGTTTTTCTGCTTCTTTCTCTCTTGGGTGTCAGAACCAACCCTTTACTACTTCACCCTGGAACCTGGCCTGGTTGGGTTACCCAGCCTCTCTGGGAGAGAGAGTCAGTCCATCCCGCCTGGTCCTGTGACCCTCACCAGCGCTGATGGTGGGAAGGTGCCTCATGTCGTGGAGAAGTTTGCTGACGACGGGACTGGACCGGGAGTACAGGCCGTGGCGGCTGATCCCCAGGTGGAACTGGATCCAGCTGGTCTCCAGGTGGAGCTGCAGTGGGGGATCCAGGGAAGTGAGATTCAGCTGCTCTTTGTATATCCTGTGTCGCCTGAAAGAGCCGGAAGAGTTTTTCTTCAGCTGCGGGAACAAGAGAGCAAAGACCTGCCGAAGCGCCTTGTCTGGACTCTCCGTCCTTCATTCATCTGGTACCTGATATGTATGAGGCTTGAGGCTGTGCTTAGGGTCCCACGGGGGACAAAGCAGCCACAGGGCTTCCTGCCCTCAGAGGGTTTACAATCCAGGGAGCGAAACAGGCAAACAGTTACACAGGGCCACACACACATCCACAAATACCTAACCACAGACCATGACAGATACTGTGAAGGAAAAGCGCAGAAGGTTAAGGGTCAAATTAGGGGCCTTGTATAATCTGGGACCTCAGGGCGTGATCCTGGGCCGCTTCCGGCACTTTCCCATGAAAAAGTCTGTATTTTATACTTCCCAATATTTCCTGACCTTAGGAGTCAGGAGGTAGGAGAGAGAAGGTAATTGATGAGAATGAAAAGAATGAGGGTCAGGATCGTTAAGGAGATTAATCAATACGTCCTATGAGAAAAGAAGAATTAATTAGCCATGTACTGTTGGTCCTGCTTAGGAAACTTTCCTGCCAGGATAAAAAGAAAAAGCTGAAAAACAACGCCACTGCCACGCAGAGGCTCAGAGCCCAGTCTGGGAGACAAGCGGTACGTCTATGAAATCATCAGAGCAGAATATAAGGCAGTTGTAATCAACTGCTGGACATGTGTTCAGACAAAAATGCCTTAACATTTTGGGGAAGGGAAAGACGATTATATGGTGAAGTAGTCAGAGGAAGACTCCGATGGGAGAAAGTGGGCCTCAGCTGGATCCACCTGGGTGGTGTTTGGATTGAAGGGGAGATGTGGGGTGTGCTCCTGGATTGGGGACAACATGGACATTACGAGAGGCAGGCGAGGGACAGGTATAGCTGAGGATTAGAGAGGAAGGATGGATGAAATAGATGGCTGAGTGAAAAGATGGAGGTCGTCTGACTGGAAAGCAAGGCAAGTCGGCACATGTCATCTGACGAGGTGAAGCTGACCGGGACGGGCTAAGTGGGATTATGGGGCAGGGTTTGCAAGTCCCTATACATCCGTATTTATCAAACCGTGATACCTTACCTCTGAGGTCTGTGATGGGGTCCATAACAAAACAAACACGGCCCATATTCTTGGCGTGTCAAATGTTCTCACTGGTAAATAGTTTTAAAAATTACTTTTATATTAAAATAAATACAGACACGTTATGGGGAGGGAAATGAAACAATCAGTTTTAATAAAAAACAGTAAATTTCCAAGAAAATTTCACTTGGTCACCTCAGACTTTACCTCCAAGAGTCCGGACCCTCAGGAGGGAATGGAGTTTTGTTTTGTGTCTTTTGTTCTGCCCTCACCTCGCCCTGTGTGAACACAGTCAAATAATAACGCCGTCCTGGGTGAAAGTCGTTTGTCTTGAGGAAGAGGCTCAGGTCTATAAACTGATGTGGAAGGATGGCTGTCCGGCAGCTCTAGGTCCTAGCCGTCTTGGTACCTGCTCCAGGGTCCTGGTGGCCTCTGGGTGCCCCTACTTCTGGAGACCTTCGCCTTTTATCGTGTCACACATATTAAAATCCACCCCTCCTTCAATATTTGTTGCTGTTCCTTTTGAAAATTTTCTTTGATCATTCTGAATCTGTTAAGAATAAAGTATCAAAATAAACAACAGCAAAGAATATATTACCTAGTAGTATAACCAAGTCAACACTGGCTCGTTGTTCTGTGGACATTTAATTATATATTAATTCATTTTGTTTTGGAGTTTTTTTGTTTTTCCATTTCTGAGCCAATCCATTTTCTTTGTTCAGGCCTCAGAGCATCGTCAAAGCTTTTGTATGTCTCAGGCACCGTGTCCACATTGTAAATGGATGAAGATCCCTGACCTACTGTCTCTGTCAGCTCAGGCTGCACAAACAAAATTCCACAGGCTGGTGGTTCAAACAACAGGAATTTATTCTCTCACAGGTCTGGAGGCTCAAGTCAAGATCAAGGTGTCGCCAGGTTTGGTTTTTCCTGCAGCCTCTCTCCTTAGCTTGCAGACGGCCACCTTCTTTCTTGTTGTCTCCTGCCACGGTCTCCTCTCTTGAGGACACATCTCCGGTGTCTCCTCCTTTTCTTATAAGGACATGGGTCCTATTGGATTAGGGCCCCACCCTGTTGCTCTTTCTTCCAGACTCTTACTGCCACCATCCTTCCTAGAGGAACAGCTCCATTGGCTCGATCAGATGAGTCCTCCTGGGACGACCCTTTCTTCCTCTCTTTCAATCTGTCGCTTCGTATTTTCTATCATTCAAGCCATAATTCTGAAAATAGCCAACCGGAAAGAAAGATCTGGTGCAGGTGAGTTCCAGACTGTGACCCAACATTATGGTTGAGGACAAGGACGCGCAAGCCAGGCAGAGACTCAAAAGGAAGGCTTGGACCAAAGAAGCCAAGGCTGTCGGATAACGAGCTCGGGCTTGGAAGGGATCTGAAGGACCCTTGAACCCAGCGTGTTATTCCATTTACCACATTCCTATCCAGGAGTTGCCTATTTTGTACTGGATCAGCTCCAGTGAAGCAGATGTATCTACTCTACATCCAGAGTAGCCCAGTCCATCAGCCCAGCTCTCTTAGGAAGCATTTTCCAATTCCGGGCCAAAGTCTTTCTAGAGCTTCCATCAAGGAGTCCTGGCTCTATCCCCTGGATTTATGCAGAACAAATCCCTTCCTTACATTGTAGCCTTGTAAATATTTGAAGATGGATGTCACGTGACCTCAGTTCCCATCTTCAGGTTGAGTTTCTACATTCCCTTCACCACCTTCCCAGGCCACGGTGTGATCCATTTGTGATTTTGGTTATGTGGGTCTGTTTCCCTCTTCTTTCTTTCTTCTTTCTCTTTTTAAAAATATTTATTTATTTGGCTGCATCGGGTCTTCCTTATGGCACTCGGGATCTTTCGTTGCTGCACACGGGCTTCTCTCTAGTTGTGACACGTGGGTTCTGGAGCACACGGGCTCAGAAGTTGCAGCGTGTGGGCTTAGTTGCCCCGCGGCATGTGGGATCTTAGTTCCCCAACCAGGGATCAAACCTGCGTCCCCTGCACTGGAAGGCAGATCCTTAACCCCTGGACCACCAGGGAAGTCCCACTTCCCTCTTATTTCTGACACCCAGAATGAAATGCAAGAGCCCAACATGGATTGTCCAGTGCAGAGCAGAAGAGGATAATTACCACCCCCATTCAAGATGTTTTCTTCCTATTCAGGTAGTCAAATAATGAATAAATGTGGAGAAACCACATCACATGTCTCTGAGAAAATAGAGATGTTGTGGTTGGCAGAATTCTAGAACTGGCCTTCAAGGTTCCACGCCCTCATCGCTAGAACCTGTGAACATGATGACCTGTCACTCTCAGGATTATTCTATGTTGTGGCACAGTTGACCGGGGGTGAGGAGATGAACCAGCAGGGCCTAATGTAGTTACATGACTCTTGAAAGCAGAGAGTTTTCTCTGGCTGGTAGCAGAAGGAACCGAAATGTCTGTCGAGGGATGAATGGATAAAGAAAATGTGGTATATACACACAACGGAAGATCACTCAGCTTTACAAAAGAAGGAAATCCTGCCTTTTGCAACAATATCAGTGCACCTGGAGGACATTAAGCCAAATGAAATAAGCCAGACACAGCAAGACAGACACTGAGTGACCTCACTTCTATGTGGACTCTGAAAAAGTCAAATTTAATAGCAGCAGAGAGAACAGTGGTTTCCAGGGGCTGGAGGGAGGGGGAAGTGGGGGGAGAGTGGTCAAAGGGTGCAAAGTTTCAGCTGTGCAGGATGAATAACCCCTGGGGATCTAATATACAGCCTGGCGACTCTAGTTAATCACACTGTACTGTAGGCTTGAAATTTACTAGAAGCGTAGGAGATCTTTGTTCTCCAAAAGGAGGGGAGAAAAGATGGCTGGGACGTCCCCCCAGGACAGCAAGCTCTGGGCGGGCAGCCTTCCAGCTGTGGGTGGAGGGGGGGCTCGAACCATTGGTGTAATTATCCGAAGTGTCTCCTGTTAAACTGCTTCAGTCCTAGCAGTTTACTGGTCTGCAGGCCACCGGCCAGCTTTTCCTTACTTTTTGCACATTTATTTTTATTTTAAAAGAGAGCCGGGCCAGGCTCTAGTTCCCAAGGCTACTTTGAGGCTTAAACTCTGGGACTGCTCGACTCTCTTGGGAGTCTGGTGGAAAGGCTGCAAAATCCTGAGCGGAGTTAGTCACCCTGAGCTAGAGCAGCAGAAAGAGAAACAATGATTCTGGGATTTGGAGCAGGGCTGGGGAAGAGGTGGGGTTTTCTTAAGCGGAGCTGCAAGCTGATGGGTTCCAGCTACAACAACAGTCCAACAGCCGGGGCTCCAGGCTCCAAATAGAAAAACAAATGCGGCAAATTGAGTGTAACTTCCTCAGGAGGACAAATCGCTCTTTAAAACGTTCGTATTTACTGTTGGGTGGGGATGCATAGCTCTCTGGTTAGCGATTCTGCCCTTCCCAGGGCCAGTGTCACAGCCTGGGCGGGGGCGGTGGGGGGGAGCACAAAGAAAGGGCATCACGGGATCCTTCACACTGGGTTTTTTTGTTTGCTTTGGGTTTTTTGTCTGTTTGTTTTTTTGCGGTACGCGGCCCTACTCATTGTCTTGGCCTCTCCCGTTGCGGAGCAGAGGCTCCCGACGCGCAGGCTCAGCGGCCATGGCTCACGGGCGCAGCCGCTCCGCAGCATGTGGGATCTTCCCGGACCGGGGCACGAACCCGCGTCCCCTGCATCGGCAGGCGGACTCCCAACCACTGCGCCACCAGCGAAGCCCCCGGTTTGGGGTTTTTTTTTTTTTAATGGTTAAGGTAGAGCTGCTGAGAGTTGTCCATTTTTTTTCCTTTCTTTTTTTTTTTTTTATCAGAAACGTTGTCTGTGTGCCCTTTGTTCCTTGGGGACAACCAGCAGGGGTGTGCTGGAGCTGGCTTGGACAGGTAGC